CTGTTCAAGTACGTGCTCAAAGTCGTGCCCCAGGGTTAAAAGTGATGACGTCACAAGGCGTAGAAAGGGTGTGGGTCCCCATGGGTGCATACGGGCGCATTGGACGTCAATAGGTTAAATGCCTGGCAACCAGCTTGTTCAAGACGGGTTCACAAACAAAACCATACACTATTGAAACACTAAAAAATAAAACTAGAATGACAGAATTAAGCTTATTACCACTACAGACTGATTAAGTCAACATGGCGAGAGTGCACTGTAGTTACAGCTACCGTATATTTATCCAAGAAGTTCAGTGTACAGACTAATTTAAGTACAGGTCTTAATTGTTGCAGTGATTTTTTCTTAGTTTGATTTTCACATTTTTTAGCTCCGACATCTTCTTTATTGTCACCGGAGGAAATTGATTTGTACATGTAATTTACTTTTCTATTGTCATTGTGAGTACAAATGGTGACCAAATTTTGCTATTTTGTCCTTAAATACTTCTTATGCATTTTGTACTTATTAATTTTGTTGATCCAGTAAAATCTGAGTAGTAGTATACACTTACTGCAACAAAGGTAATTTTCCTTTTTTGTTGTTGTTGGTTAGGTCAGATCCTGAAAAGATAAGAGACCTTGAAGATGAACAAGAGGAGTTAAATGGTTCTCTACTTGCTCTCACCAGCCATTTTGCTCAGGTACATGTACTTTTACTAGATTATTATAATTACATGTACTTCTTTCCATGGAGAAGGATGTATAATGTACTACTTAAGTGGAGTATGCATTCTTGGTGCTTCTATAATTTATGAAAATAATATCTGGGTGAAGACTCTTGGTGCAACACTTATTAATTTAGTTCCTGTATCATTGATAATAGTTTAAAAACAATGACTGCTGGTTGCTACTGAACCTCACCTTGCTGTCTTCTTTATACATGTACAAACAGGTCCAGTTTCGATTGAAACAGGTTGTTGCTGCTCCTACAGAGACTAGAGAGGTTTGTTAAACGCACTGCATAAGATGTGCATGTGTAATCAGATGTTCAGACCTTCTTTTCTTATGATGCAAGGAAAATTTTCTTAAAACTTCCATGCAGTGTATATGCAACAGTAATATGCACTTCATGAAATACACATGTATGCATTCTTTTCCACTAGAAAATGGTATTTCTCCACATACAGTTGTATGTTGTGGTTTAAATTGATTTTAAACTAGGTTGAATATATTTTTCTCTGTTAAATAATAGTGATGGTATAGCTTGAACAAAATTTAAAAAAAATTCCAATTTTACTACCTGTAGTTGAAAATTGTCTCACTAAGCTAAATTCATTCAAAGCTGCAACATTATTAATTTTATGGAGACCATAGAATTTTGCATGTTCATTTACATACATGTAGTACATTTATTTGTACATACTTTCTTGAAAAGGATTTCAAATTTTAACCTATTGATGTCCAGTGTACCCATAAGCGCCCATGTGGAACCACACCCTTTCTACGCCATGTGACATCACCACTTTTAACCCCGGAGCACAACTTTGAGCACGTACTTAAACAGGTTGAAAATATCTTACAAACGATACCATAATGAGCGCAATTGAGTGAAGGACACTGGGGAAATAGCCAAAAAACCATGTAACTTTGGCCTGAAAAATCTGCATGAAAATCTTGTTCCATTACCCACCTACCTTTCTGAGCATATGGTTTGAAAATAATGAGTAGTTTCCTAAAAAATCTCAACACCAAAATGAAGCCTACTAAATTTCCAGCAAGTGAGGAGAAAATTCAGGCAAGGAAAGGGGTAAAAAAAGGGCAGTAGAAAGAGAGAAAAGTAAAAGTCGTAAGTGGTGCATTACTTTTTAACCCAAAAACTATCTCAAGATTTTGTTTTCTGCACCTGCCTGAGATTTTCAGGCGGCCATTTTGCATTTGGATCGAAAGGCCGTCGAGTGTACAAGCTGCGAATGGGTTTGCGGTAAGTTTGAGCTTTTAAAACCACAACAGTGACCCGAAATCTGCTCGACTTGCTTCAAAACGCAGTTTTTCACAAAAGCTGTGGCTATTAATGGGTTAATTTAAAGCATCTCAGTATTTGACGAAATGATACTTTTAGTATTGCCTCGATTATTTGTTCTTTGTTTCTTTGGCAGCGTTTGTTAATGGAACTAGAAGAGTTTGCATTCCAAGGATGCCCTGATGTACGTGGTCCAAAAGCGAAGGAAAGTCCAACAAAGGCAGTGGATGATAGTGGTGAAGGAAAAAATGTAAGTCTAGGAGCAGTTGTTTGGAGTGTAGGTTAATGGAGCTGCCTAATTTAAGGAATACAGATCATGTTTGCTTTCAACCCTTAAAATATCATGCTAAGTCTATTAGTCTATTTAACCTCCTCCCAGTTAGCTCAATGGATAGAGCGCTGGACTGTTGTGCGGGAGGTCGAGGGTTCGAGTCCCGGCCGGATCAACACGCAAGGTCTTAAAATAATTGAGAAGAATATGCTACCTTTCTATAACATCAAGAAATGGTTAGATATTCTAGTCTTCTTGGATAGGGACGAATAAATGGAGGTCCTTTCTCCTGCACGGTAGGAGACTTTAATTTCCCACACACGAGATTACTGTGTGATGGATGTCCTCCCCTGGGTTGGGATGGGTGGGTTTGTTGAAGCTTAAACCTCGTAGGGGACCCATATCCTTTGGTTTCTGCTCCAGTACTTGGTACAAATCATTAAATAAATAAGTAATAAATAAATAAAGTCTATCAAAGGTTTTTAATGTAGGGTCAAAGTGAAGATCATGCAATTATGTAGTCTGATTGTGCAAATATGGGTAGTCCTTAGGAAGAATGTTTTTGGTAGGGAACAATGTTTGGACAACTAGAGAGGAAATGGTCATCCAAGGCTAATGAAAAGTTGTCTGTCAGCCAAGCGGTAATTACAGTGACATGAACTCAACCGGGGCCACCCAACGTTTTTTAGCCAATCACAAGACGAGTCTAGAACAAAAAAATTGAAGTTCGTTCATCAGTGGATCAATCACCATAAGGGTCAAATTTCACTGTTCATTTGACTAGATCAGATGTGAAGGTATGCAAAAGCTTATAGTTTTTTTAAAGCAAAAAAAATATAATATTTTTCATTTCTATTACGGTAAAGGTGAATAAATATTTACCGAATGGCGGCCGGTAATTTCGAAGACTAAACTGACTAAAGTTAAATTTACCAAATTGCGGCCGACTCACTTTATACAATATATTTTCCGAAACACGGCCTGGAATGCCGAAGGCGAGAGCTTATGTAATTTACTGAATATTGCGGCCGCGAATTTTGAACACGAAACGGGCTCGATCAATGTGAATAAATATATCAAATTACAGCCGGCTAAACCTCAAGGCGAAACCGGCTCAACACAAGTATATTTTTAAAATATCATTGAAAAACGGCCGTATCTACAATTTTACCGAGAATTTTAGTAACCAATCACAAGGACAAAGAAAATTTCAAATTTAGTTTTTGCATGTATTACCGGTGGTTGATTCCGTTTGCGTTGTAGTTTGAAAGTCGGGAAGTATTTCAAACATTCACTGATTTGAGGTAAAACCGTTTCGTCTTCAAAATCTCAGGCCGTGTCAATTCCGCAAATACATTTGTATTGAGTCCGTTTGGTCTTCAATATTCCCAGCCGCATTATTCCGTAAATAATATAAGCTTTCATCCTCGACATTCCAGAACGTGTTTCGAAATATATATTTTATAAGTTAACCCGTTCGTAATTTAGTAAATTTCTTTAAGT